CTGTGCGAGAGCTGGGGGTATATCATAGACTCATAGAATGTTAGAGTCGGAAGGGACCTTGCACGTCATCTAGTCCAACCCCCTGCACTCTGCAGGCACATAGCTGAAAGATAGCCCTACAACATACCTGAAAGATGGTTGTCCAGCCTCCGCTTGAAAACGTCCAGGGAAGGAGCATCTATCACCTCCCGAGGCAGTCTGTTCCCATAGAGCAGAATGAAGGTCTCTTGTTGGCAGCCAGAGCTGCCTGTCAGACTTTGGAGGGCAAAAGTCCACCCACCCACCCCCAATTGCTTTGACAACAAATTCATCGGCATCAGCATGTCTGGCTCACAAACCTCCGCCACAAACCTCCATGAAAAACATGACGGTTTGTGGGAGATGCAATCTCATGAACCGAGGACTTACAAACTTGTGGTGTGGTTCGTGCCCATCCCTAATTATAATGTTCCTGTTACATTGTTTTAAATTGTGTAATATTTCTTGAGTCTCAGTGACAAAAGTGAATAAATAAATCTTTCCAGTAGCTATTTCCACTGCTTTCAGTGGGAAACAGACTTGCTCCTGTGACTTCTTTCCCCACATCCAACTGGAATGGAATTCTCAGGGATTGCATCCCTCACTCTAGGGATCCTCTGTTCCAAATTTTAGTCAGAAGAAAGTATCCCTGTTCTAGTGACAATCAAAATTCTCAGCAACAGCTAGAGTAAAAGAGCGTTTGAGTAGGTTTGTGGCTACTCCAGATTGTCAGAACTAATTCTGTTTGGATTCTTTCTAATATTTGGGGATGTGTGTTGTTTGGATCAGAACTTGATTAGTAAATTTCTGTTTGCACATTCTTTGGAACAGTATACACATTTTCTTTATCTAGGTAAATAACAGCTCAGGTGATATTTAATTTATTTAGGAGATTTCTTTTTTCCCCACAAAACTTTTTATTTTGGATATAATAACACATTTAACATTTACTTTCACTTAACTAATACCCTTCTTTCCCTTCCCTCCCTCCCATACTAGTGGCTTCCCGCAGTGCTCTACCCTTTTTCCCTTTAAATTTCTTATACTAGTTTCAACATTCTAGATTCCATTATAAGATAACATTTCTATCAATATTGTTCTAAATACAGTAAGTTATGCTTCACATCCCAGTTCTCCTCTAAATAGTCCTTAAACTCTTTCCAATCTTCAAAAAATTCTTGGTCTTCTTTGTTGTTCAATTTCCTTGTTATTTTGTCCATTTCTGCCATAAATAACACTTTTTGTATCCAATCTGCAATCTCAGGTGTTCTCTCTTGCTTCCAACATTGTGCATACACCATTCTTGCCGTTGTTATCAGATACCAAAACATAGTCTTTTTTTGTACATTTAACTCTTCTAACTTCAAACCTAGCATAAAATCTCTGGTCCTTTTTTAAATGTACAGTTAAACATTTTCTGTATTTCACAATGAACTTTTTCACAATGAGCTTTTTCACAATGAGCTTTTTCACACGTCCACCACATATGATAAAATGAGCCCTCATGTTTTTTACATTTCCAACACTTATTTGACATATTTTGGTTCATATTTGCTATCTTTTTCGGCCCTCATGTTTTGGTTCATATTCATGTTTTGGTTCATATTTGCTATCTTTTTCGGCCCTCATGTTTTGGTTCATATTCATGTTTTGGTTCATATTTGCTATCATATTTTCATATTTGGTTCATATTTGCTATCATATTTGCTATAATATTTTGGTTCATATTTGCTATCATATTTTCGGCCCTCATGTTTTGGTTCATATTCATGTTTTGGTTCATATTTGCTATCTTTTTCGGCCCTCATGTTTTTTACATTTCCAACAATTATTTGACATATTTTGGTTCATATTTGCTATCTTTTTCGGTGTCATATACCATCTATACATCATTTTATAGCAATTCTCTTTAACATTAGTACACGTTGATATCTTAATAGAATTTTTCCACAAATATTCCCAAGATGTCATAGTCACCTCCTTATTCATATTAAGAGCCAATTTAAGCATTTGCTCTTTAACCGTTTCATCCTCCGTATATCATTTTAACAGGGTTTTATACAAGTTAGAAATCATTTTTCTTCCTCTATTCTCCCTCAATCTCATTTTTCTCTTCTCTAAAACCATACATTTTTGTCTGCTCTAAACAGATCTCTAATCTGTAAATAACCCAACCAAACATATTTATATTGTATCTCATCCTGATCTTTCATTACCCATTCTGACCCTTCTTTTTTATCAAGTCTCTGTATGGCAATAATTCTTCTCCTCTTTGTCTCGTGTACTGTGTAATCACTTCTGCTGGTACAATCCAAAGCGGTCTCGCATCATAAAAAAATCTTTTATATCTCATCCATACTCCAAAAAGAGATCTTCTTACGAAATGATGTCCATTTTAGTTTTTTCGTACCATAAGTATGCATGCCATCCGAATCTGCAATCATGTCCTTCCAACGCTAATAGTTTTTTGTAATTTATTTAGGAGATTTCTGTGCCACCTCTTGAGAATCCTGGTCAAGGTGGCTTACAATTAAAATAACATGTACAATAACATATACCATTAAACAGCTGAAAGATAAAACCATTAATTAAAAGCCTGGGTAAAAAGAAATGTTTTGGCCTGGTGCTTAAAAGATATGTGCCAGACCAGCCTCAAGAAGGAGGGCATTCCAAAGATGAGGTGCCACCACAGAAACTGCCCTGTCTCTAGTTGCCACTCACCTGACCTTTGAACGTGGGGGCACAGAAAGCAGAACTGGAGAAGGCGGATCTTAACTGGTGGGTTAGACAGTACTGGAGTAAACAGTTCTTCAGGTATGTGCAATGTTCATCAGGAAAACTGTGTAAAAGAAAGGGCCCCACTTTTTCCTGCTCAGTGCCACAGTCCCAATTCATTCTCCATCCCCTCCCTCATGTCAGCTATTCATAAAAATAGAAAGTAGGAATGCCAGTCCCTGGGCAGTGGCGGGGGATCCCCCGATTTTTGGGCTCACTCCCAGACATCGGCCAGCTGGCTCACAGGGGGGAAGCCCCACCCCCAAAAGTTGTCCGCAGCCCTGCTTGAAAAGAGCGGGCGCCATTGTGTGTCTGACCCGCAAGCCTTTAAATGGTTGGGGGAAAGTGGGGGGCATGCATGCGTGGCACTCTGTTCCTGTGATGTCATCACATTGGGGACAGCCACTTCCCCTCCCAGCATGCCCCCCCCAACTCCCTCCACTGGGGAGAAAATTGGACCTGGCCACCCAGATAGAAAGAGATGGGAAATCTGATCATGGATCTCATCTAGTTGGATCTTCTTGGTTCTAGTGACCACTGTAAATTCAAGTCTCAGAACGTTTCTTAGGATGCAGGAAAGAATAGGGATGTGCAGCATTGGACCATGCAGCTGTCAATCTTTTGGATTAGTCAGGCTGGGTTCCTGATCAACAGAGCAGTCCTCTTGCTGCATTTTTTAGCCAGTGACTTCAGTCACCTTAACCTGGAATATACAACTCTCAGAGCTCTGATTTGATACCTGAGAACATGTACCACTTAATGGCAAATAGGTGTGTACTTTATTCTGACAATCAGAAGGTTCAGGTAATTATAGTTTAGCAAATGGGTTTTCTGCAGGTATACAGGTGCCCCGTTTTTCTTTATGTAGTTAGAGTTAGGGTTGCTCACTTTCCTTTCAGTTATGTCAAATAAAAACAATATTAAGAATCAAGGCACGGTGAAGGTGATTGTCACCCAAGCTAACTTTTTCTTTGCTCTCAGATACTGAATATTATGGCACTTGAGGCTTGGTTTAGGACTATGAAGTTGGGGCAAAGTTTTGCTGGATGTTAGGGAGGCAACTTATCCCTTGCTTTCAGTTACAATCTTCTGCAACAATTCCAATCAGTTCTCTCTGCAGTGTATTCTATTATGGTTTCCAGGGCATGAGCAAGCTGTTAAAATGTGGAGAATGCAAGCACAAAATAGATTTTTCTAGCAGCTCTTGACCCTACCAAGTATCACTAAAATTTCTTAAGAACGTATTTAATAAGATTCTTTTTAGCCATTTATTACGCTGTTAAATTTGAATGGCATTTCATAAAAGTAGAGAAAGTCTGGGAGAGCTTCTGTTCTTCATTTCTAAAGCCTTCTACAAATACTTATGGTGTGGAAAAAAAATTAATGCTGTAGTTTTGTAACGAACGTATTAGCCAAGCTGATCCCAGTCCCCTTCTTTATGATTAGCTGCATGGTTTTCAGGTATGTTGTGCACATCCAGGAATATCCTATTCCACTTTTAAGGACTAGACTCTACATAATTAGTTACTGACGTATCATAGATACCCTGTTTTCCCGAAAATAAGACCTACCCAAAAAATAAGCCCTAGCAGGATTTCTATGCATTTGTGGTATAAGCCCTAGTGTGTCTTCTTGAGAAAAAATAAATATAAGACAGTGTCTTATTTTGGGGGGAACACGGTAAGTAACCAGTTACTGAGAACAGACTAATTAAGAAAGGTATGCCTAAAACCCTTAATGATTTATTAGAATATTATTTTGTTCTGTTTGCCTCATTTGTGAACCACTAGCATGAGGAGGAATTTCATATTATACCGGATTGTCTTTTCCTTATTCTAGGGCATCAGCTGTTGCCACAAGTAGAGATGAAAGTGATGTCATACCTTTCTAGGGGAAACCATAGAGCAACCAATGATTCCCAAAGAGGACTAATATCACTTATGGGAAAGACCTGGGGTTTCCCTGGAAATGACGGGTTGCCACTGTTGATGGCCACCCACCATGTACACACACAACCCAGTCTCCCATTGGTTGCCAGACCATGCCTGGCAATCCTAGCCTAAGACAATCCTTCATTGTAGAGTAGAGGGTCTCTTGATCAATTACAGCTCCATAATTCCATATGATAGTATCCAAACAGAGGCTCCTCATCATGTTTCCAGAACAGATTCCAATAAATAAATGATACATATTTTACTATTTCCTAGGTAATAGTGTATGTAGAAGATGTCAATGACGAAGTGCCTGTATTTACGCAGAGGCAGTATAACCGGCTGGGGTTGCGAGAGACTGCTGGGATAGGGACATCTGTTGCAGTGGTCCGGGCAACAGATCGAGATACAGGTACAGATACTGCTCAGAACAGTGACAGTTATCAGATGGCTTTGTCTCCCCATGTTTTATATTGCTCTCTGTGATCTCTTGCTTATCTGCCTGCCTTAATTTCTGGTGGCCAGATGCAACACTGTTCGTCTCACAGAATCTGTTTTTATATCTTCATATTTTGTATGTCTATCCTCATCTTTCTTTTTCAAATTAAGAAATCAAGGACGGTTAAGAAGTCAAATATGAAATACAAATTGGTTAAAACAGGCCAATGGAAAAGGCTGTCTTTCTCCCCCTCCCACCATAGTCGCTGCTGGAGTAGGTTATGGCTTTTGGGCTTTCCTGTGAAGCTGCAGCTTGGCTGGACACAGATGGAGATTTTGGTGGACAGAATGGATTGGGGGAATGGACTCAGAGAGGCTCTGGTGAAGGGTTATATCAGGGCAGATCTGTATATTTTAATTGCTCAGAGGTTGCTGTGTTAGTTTTTTTGTAACAAATTAAAATAGAAGTCCAGTGGCACTTCAAAGACTAACAACATTTATTTTAGTACGAGGTTTCGTGAGTCACAGCTGAATTCTTCAGATATGTAGAAAGGAAATCATCTTGGGAATACTTATATGGAATATTACAGAAGTGGGGAAGTGCAAATTGAAGCAGTGTGAATCCCATCATAGATATTTCAGGTGTGATTTTTAAGCCTTTGTATGGATTAGAAATATCTGAGTCCTCAAATATGTCTCAGTATAGTGCCTAATTGTCAATTAATGAAGCATCACCTAAAATCATCCACCCTTCAACAGTCAGAGCATCTGTCTAATAAGGTTGCCGGGTCTGGGTTGGGAAATACCTGGAGACTTTGGGGGTGGAGCCAGGAGAGGGCAGGGTTTGGGGAGGGGAGGGGAGTGGCCTCAGCATAGTACAATGCCATAGAGTCCACCCTCCAAAGCAGCCATTTTCTCCAGGGAAGCTGATATCTGTCAGCTGGAGATCAGTTATAAAAGTGGGAGATCTCGAGACGCCCGGTCGATGGAACAGCAATGGCGGACGCTCTCCTCACAACGGAGGAGGGCGAATCACACACCAGCGGCCTGGAGGGGTGCCACCTCAAGTGACACCCCCGCGGAGCCTTTGCGATAGGCTCCAGGCCAGGGGGCTTTTGAGGGGCAGCCTCTTCGATAGCGTAATGCCAGAGAATTGAGGCTCCCCTCCGCCCCGACAATCCAGTCGCTGAGTGGCCTTCGGGCACAAGCTGGACTGACCGGGACAAGCGCCTGAGATTGAGCAGAATGGCGTAAAACCGAGCGTGGTCAGATAAACTGGCCGACAATGAATGTGAATTATACGGAGTAGTTTGAAAAGCGATCCCCCCCCCCGCGATTGGAAACAAGAATTGCAAAGATTTTGTGAAAGA